ACACAAGACATATCACACAGGACACAAGACATATCACACAGCACACAAGACATATCACACAGGACACAAGACATATCACAAGATATTCACAAGACACAAGATATTCCGCAGCATTGATCCAACATCAGAGGACAAGAGAAGTCATTTCAGTGATCTAGAAGTCGCAGTGACTTTACAGTGACGTCAAACCCCTGAACACAAGAGAAGTCATTTCAGAGGCCAATTCTTGTTTGGAATTTGATAAAAGTTTTACAATGGAGACAAAGCTCATCAGACATCAGAAGTTTCACAATGCAGAGAAGCCATATCAGTGTTCTGAATGCGGGAAAGCTTTTATATGGAAGTCACTACTTATTTTACACGAGAGGGTTCACACTGGAGAGAAGCCGTATCAGTGTTCTGAATGTGACAAAGCTTTTACAACAAAAGCACAACTTATTGTACACCAGAGGATTCACACTGGAGAGAAGCCATATCAGTGTTCTGAATGTGACAAATGTTTTTTTAGGAATACAAAACTTATGAGACACCAGAGGGTTCACAGTGGAGAGAAGCCATATCAGTGTTCTGAATGTGACAAGTCTTTCACAACAAAAGCAAATCTTAATGCACACCAGAGGATTCACACTGGAGAGAAGCCATATCAGTGTACTGAATGTGACAAAGCTTTTAGAGAGAAGACCGCACTAATCGCACACCAGAGGATTCACATCGGAGAGAGGCCATATCAGTGTTCTGAATGTGGCAAAGCTTTTAAAACAAAAGCACATCTTATTACACACCAGAGGATTCACACTGGAGAGAGGCCATATGAATGTTCTGAATGTGGCAAAGCTTTTAGAGAGAAGATAGTACTAATCAGACACCAGAGGATTCACACTCGAGAGAGTCCAAATGAATGTTCTGAATGTGGCAAAGCTTTTAAAACAAAAACAAGTCTTAATGGACACCAGAGGATTCACACTGGAGAGAAGCCATATCAGTGTTCTGAATGTGACAAATGTTTTTCATGGAAAACACAACTTATAAGACACCAGAAGGATCACAGTGGAGAGAAGTCATATTAGTGATCTGAATGTAACAAAGCTTTTAGATTGAAAATGTTGGTTATCGGATAAAGCGATGTCCCTAAGGACCCTTCATCCCGAACAGACATTGTTGTGTCCAAAAAAGTAATTTGTTGCCATTCGTCCGCAAAAAGTCTTCTCTCCCAACCCCCCTCCAGGTACATGTTGACATACGACGGCACACAGCACATTCCCATTGCCACGTCCTGTACCTGGAGGTAGTGGGTCTGGTCAAAAAACAAAAACATTCTGAGTTAGTTTTTGCTGAAGCACTTTAATAACAAAGTTATTACATGGCCAAGTAGAGCACGGACGTTCATCTAGAAGTTCTTTCATTGTGGCAAGTCCTTTTGTAAGAGAGATGCTGCTGTATAGAGCCTCTTACCTGTACTCTCCCCCGTCCATGGGGTGACAACTCTACTGTGAGATTTCACTGTAGAACAAATACGGTTGTCATCCTGTTACAGGAAGATGAAAAATAACAGATCTACAGACTGTCCTAACACTCACTGTGAAGTGTGAATGATTGTGACCATTCTTGCAGTAGTAGAGCAGACTACACACTCAGATTAGGACAGGTACCTACCCAATGGATTCACCTTCGGATTTGGGAGAAATATTTCACATGGTTTCCTATATTCCATGAATGACACTGACAAGGGGAGTTTCACTTACATTACTGACATAAAGAATACCCTTCATATGGAGGCCAGTAACACTCCATGGTTTCAGGTTCAATCATCCCCATTGGTCCAATAGAGTCCTAGTCCTTCCAGGTAACATCTATTTCTTGTGTGATGGGTGTGTCCTAAAATGGCTTCCCTTCAATTCCACCCATCACTGTATTTAGGGTCATGTCACCCCGGCCATGTCTGTAGGGGAAAGTCTCAGTATCTCCCAATACTCTCCTGGCCTGCGAGTGAAGGGAAACATTTCCTGTAGAGTGGATGTGTTTTATGCAGTGATCCCTTCATAGACGGGATGGGGAATCTATATGATGAGGAAGATGAACCTGTATACTGGAGTCAGGGATTAGACCACCAATGAGACCACGGATGCTATAGCAGAGCTGACACCACATGTGTCTCACACACCTAAGGTGACGACGCTGCAGGACAACATGGCCGCTCTATTTTCTCTCGGCAGTTCAAGCGGGAACCTGCAATATGGTGTCAGGTGGAGAGTGTTGGAGAATTATTGAAGGTAATGAGGATCTCATACGGGTTCTTCTACACAAGGTAAAGGATTCCCAACAGGCCCCAGTGAGAGTGAGTGGGATCCATTGTCTCGGGTGGCTGTGATTGGAACTTAGTGGAGCAATTCGTTGGGTTTGTTTCCTGAGCCAATAATTGTTCTTATAATTTGAATATAATTATTTGTAGATTGGTGGAGTTGTGTCATCAAAGTGGTTTGAGAGGGGGAGGGGGACCCCACGCTGTTTTCTTACATTTTTATTTCTTTTCTTTAAACATTTTTTTAAAAACTATTTCTTATCTTTTTTGTCTTTTTGTTACATTTTATTTTATTCCGCTTGCTACCTCAGAGTAAAGCAAAATGTTACCTCACTAAGTACTAAAGATGTCTGCCATGAAGGGGTTCAATCATTTTGAGACTGCAGAAGTCATTAAAAGTCACATTTTCAGTGGAATTTGGGGGAAACCACATTGATACATTCGTTATGTTGAGCGATTTCAGTTGCTTTTGTTTGATTGGTTCATTGCAAACAGCTGAAAGTCTGTAAATTCTGCCCATAAACCTGATTTGCAATGGGGGAGGGGTCAGGAGTTTTGATGACAGCTGTAATTGGATGCGATTATTGTGTTATTATTACTTGTAGAATCTTTGAAAATGAAAATGTTCGTTTGATTTTATTTCTGAAATTTTAATTAAAAAAATAATAAAATATTGAGGGGCGTGTCAAATGTTAATGAATTTCTTGAACAGATAATGGAATTGGTAGTGGGGGTGTCCCTGCAACAGGGTGAGGCAGCCAATAGGGGGAAATTAGGAGTGTCTATGCCTCACCAGCCAATCACTAGGAGTTTCATGGCCAGTGGTGCATGCTGGGAAGTGCATAAATACTCAGGAATTGCCATGTGCTCCAGAACAGAAGGCTTAGCCTGGGGGTGGGATGTACAGGGCTGGAGACGCGGACTAGGCCTGAAGCCTGCAGGAGGCCAGATGTGGACCCAGGAGGGGTCTGAAGCAATCTGGAAATGAGTACCAGAGGAGCCCTATGACTGCTTGAGGTGCCAGGATGGCATGGACCTCAGTAAATAAAGCATCTAAAAAAGTGACTGGTGTCCAATTTACTGTTCGCATCCCACAATTCGGTTGAGGATCCACCCCTGAGGGTGAAATGTCAGCCCTCCCTGCCCCTGGGGTACCTCACATGTCTTGGGGGGGGGGGCTCAGGGGGTGCTACAAGTACTTTGGTAACAATCTGATATTCTCTGTTTATGAAAATGAAGTGAGTTAGGTGACGTATGTGAGATGTAAATTTGTAGATAAAAGAATATATGAATAGAACAATAATAAATATACACTGCCTGGCCAAAAATAAGTCACCCCCTAATACAGGGGTCTCAATGCGTTTCACTCAGGGGCCACTGGACACGTTTTTTTCCCATGGAGGCCTGTCAGGGACCAGAGCACCTCCAGGTGGCAGTGTGGTGCTGGAACCTGATCCTGCAGTTCCAGTGCTCACCTGCAGGTGTCTCCCAGCAATTAGTCACCACCTGGTGCTGATCTGGGAGGGTATTTGGCCTCTCCTTGCTGTTGAGCCTGTGCCTCAGAATTGTTGCCATTTCCTGAAGCCTGCATCCTGTTCCAGGTCCTGACCTGAATCCTGACCAGTGGCTCCCCTCTTGTTGTCCTGCTCCCCAGTTCATAAGCATTGTTTGGTGTGGTCACGTAATTGGCTCTCTTGTATAGATACCTGCACGCGGAGTGAGGACACCAGTGCACGGTATCATGACAGGGCCACTTGCCAAATCTCATACTGGCACGCTCAGCTATGCGAGCTCTCACAAGCCGACTCGCCGGAGTGGAAATGACACGACACACACTGCACCCGAAGGTCCGCGCTCCGCGCTGCTTCACCTGTCGCGTGTCACAGTCTTTACTAGACATGTGCACTGCCAAAACATTCGTTTCGTTTTAAATTCGGATTTGTGTTATTTTGTTTTTCAGGATTCGGGTGTGAAAGTCAATTCGGAATTCGGATTCGGACGAAATTCGGTAGCGTTCGTACGAACGTTACCAAATTTTGGAAATGGAAATTCGGATTCGTTTTCATTCGTTATGTCTGTAATTCGGAATTCGGATACATCCGAATGTCCGAATTTCCGAAAATTCGTCCGAATTTCGATTCGGAACGAATCGCACATGTCTAGTCTTTACACTCAAATCCCTCCAATGCATCCCGCTATGTATGATGAGTAATAATAACACGGACATGTCAGGTGACTGCGACATACTTACACTTGCAGAGCGTTCACTTCCTGCTATGAAAGTGCAAAATGACTTCAGTTTCCCAACACAATGCATCCTGGGATTGTATCGTCATGGAAATCAGATCTCGTATAACCTGAAATCAGACAAGTGACTGAAACCGCCCCACCCCCACCCCACAGAGGAGCGATCAGTACACAGCCCTCCTGCACCCCTCCCCCCCTTCCTTCCTCTTTACATACTGACAATGGCTGAGGGGAACACAAGTCCTGAATGAGCTTTTCAGCTTCATCTGGTAATGTGAGCCATGCACTGATCGGCAGTCTGCACCACCCGCCGGGCTCTCCCAGCAAGGTGACAAGACCTGTGACTGTGTCATCCCTATAGAGTCCCATCAGTGAAGGTGAGACGGCAGCCAGGCATCACTCTCATCATGCTTTACCCCTATTTGTGCCTCCAGCAGATGATGGGGATGGTAGTCCTCCCGTGTGTGTATGAACCAGATGATGGGGATGGTAATCTTCCTATGTGTGTATAAAGCAGATGATGGGGATGGTAGTTCCGGTGTGTGTATGAAGCAGATGATGGGGATGGTAGTCCTCCTGTGTGTGTATGAAGCAGATGATGGGGATGGTAGTCCTCCCGTGTGTGTATGAAGCAGATGATGTGGATGGTAGTCCTCCTATGTGTGTATGAACCAGATGATGGGGATGGTAGTCCTCCCGTGTGTGTATGAACCAGATGATGGGGATGATAGTCCTCCTATGTGTGTATGAACCAGATGATGTGGAAGGTAGTCCTCCTATGTGTGTATGAAGCAGATGATGGGGATGGTAGTCCTCCTATGTGTGTATGAAGCAGATGATGGGGATGGTAGTCCTCCTATGTGTGTATGAAGCAGATGATGGGGATGGTAGTCCTCCTATGTGTGTATGAAGCAGATGATGGGGATGGTAGTCCTCCTATGTGTGTATGAAGAAGATGATGGGGATGGTAGTCCTCCTGTGTGTGTATGAACCAGATGATGGGGATGGTAGTCCTCCCGTGTGTGTATGAAGCAGATGATGTGGATGGTAGTCCTCCTATGTGTGTATGAACCAGATGACGGGGATGGTAGTCCTCCTATGTGTGTATGAACTAGATGATGGGGAAGGTAGTCCTCCTATGTGTGTATGAAGCAGATGATGGGGATGGTAGTCAACCTATGTGTGTATGAAGCAGATGATGGGGATGGTAGTCCTCCCGTGTGTGTATGACACAGATGATGGGGATGGTAGTCCTCCCGTGTGTGTATGAAGCAGATGATGGGGATAGTAGTCCTCCTATGTGTGTATAAAGCAGATGATGGGGATGGTAGTCCTTCTATGTGTGTATGAACCAGATGATGGGGATGGTAATCCTCCTATGTGTGTATGAAGCAGATGATGGGGATGGTAGTCCTCCCATGTGTGTATGAAGCAGATGATGGGGATGGTAGTCCTC